TTTTTTTTTTTTTTTTTTTTTTTTTTTTTTTTTTTTCTCTCTTTTTATTATTTATTTATTGTAAACTTATATATATATATATATTAAACTTGTACAAAAAAAAAATCTAAAAAATTATTATTTTTTTAATTTTTTATAAAAATGATGAATGTTTTATTTTAAAAATAGCTTAAACTTTTAATAATATTCTTAAAATATTTTTAAACTCTAAAAAAAATTTAAAAATTAAGTTACTATATTTAAAAAACATCTATAAAATTTTAAAAGTAATATTAATATAATTTATTTTTATAAAAATATTGAAATAAATTATCTAACTTTCTAACTTTATTAGAAAAAACGTTGTACTCGACTAAAATGAAAAGACAGTAAAATCACTTAGTATATATGAGTTAGGTTACAAAATCTTTGGATAAACTCGAATGATTGGTGACCTAAATAATCAATCCAACCTAATTTAACCCTTATTTTTGGGCGATGTCGTGTAGTTTTTTTTTAATAAAAAAATTATATTTATTTACCATCTTAGATTAATCACTCAATTTATAATCTAATTTAATATGTATTTAAAATAAATTAATAAATATATATTTAAATTTAAATTTAGGTTAAATTATAAGGTTTGTTTATAACATTTATTTGATTCATAAATTAAAAAAAAAAAGTTAAATATGCTTATAAATTTTTAATTTGATATTTAATTATATCTAAATTTTAAATTTGTGTTATTAATCAATCAAATAGATGAAATTTAAATTATGGAACTCCATAATTTGAATAAATTATTTTAGGAATTATTTTCTTTTTTTTTAATGTAGACAATTTAACCCATAAACATAAATTTCAAAATTGAATCGTAATTAACATTAAATTTAACTCCCTTTCATAAAATACTTTTCTTAGGCGGTGGGCTTCGTCTTCCTCAAGAAAAAATCTCTGCACAGTTTCGTTTCTTTCCATTTTTTTACTTTCACACGAAAACTCTGGGCATAGAAATGGAGGAATTTGCTGTGGATGATCCGACCCAGCTACTCGAAGCAGCTGCAGATTTCGCAAATTATCCCGGTTAACCATTTGATACATAATTTCAACTTCAAATTCTACATATTCTACTGAATATGCATGAGAATCTGACATCGTTAATCATTTCCCATTTGTGAAGGTGTTCGGACTGATGAGTCGGTGAAGGAATTCTTCAGCCGCTTTCCCCTTCCCGTCGTAATCAAGTATTTATACACGATATGAAAATCGAAGCATCTCTTGTTTGATTGATTGTTTTTCAATTTTCTTTTATGTATTTTCATTGCTCTTTTGGTTCTCTTTGTTGACGTGGTGTTGTTTTCTTCTTCAAGTGCTTTACAAGCAAAAGCGGAAATTCCTGGTTTGGAAAACACTTTGGTTGCATGTCTCGACAGGATATTCAAAACCAAGTATGGTGCTTCACTTATACCACATTATATGGTATGAACACTTCCCTTGTATGTTTACTCATGTTTGGGATGTGCTGAGTTTTCTGATACTACAGAGAATAGGGTGCCATGGGGGAGGTTTTTTTTGACATTTAATTCTTTACATGTTTATCGATGTTGGGGCCTAGTTCATTGAGTTTAAATTCATTGAAATCCCCCATTATTTTGTTCAACTGCAATAGCAATTCCAATCATGTTATTAGAATCCCTGGATGTGCCTCATGGTCTGTCAGTTGTATTGATTGTTTCTGTACCCCCTCCTCCTGCAGCCCTTTGTACAGGTTGGACTACAAGCTGATTCTCAAGCAGTTAGAAGCTTAGCTTGTAAAACGGTAGGTTTTTGTTGCTGCTACTTGTTCAACTTAAACTAGCTATCCCTCTTTCTTGTCAATTACTTTTCCCTTTCTTTTTGGACTCGATTGTTTGTTATCACTATGCTAGTTATAACCTTCTGTGTTCTTAAACTAAGAATTCAAAATATCTTCAGGTCACTCGCCTGCTGGAGGAGACCGATCCAACTACTCAATTGGCCCCACAACTTATTGTTGACTATAACATCTATCCACTTTTGATTGAGTGCCTTCTCAATGGGTAAGAACACATACTGATGATTGTGAATTAAACTATGAATGTGATTGAGCCTTGGATGGTACCGGTATAGTGCCTGTGTGTTTTTAATTAAATACTTATTGTTCATACATTTTTTCTACTTAAAACCTTACTTAAAGTTTGAAACTATAAATAGCACAGCTTTCTCGAATCATTAAAGAACTGTCAAATTATTCATCCAATACACACTTCTTTTACAACTTAGGAACATTTTGTTAATGCTGCAAAACTGTTATATAATTGAATTCTATGATTCCTTTATGGGTCTAGGGGTTCTCAACCCCACGAACTCCCCACCTGTCCCTCCACTTCTTTGTGTTAAGCATCATTGACCTGATAAAACTCCTAAACTATGCAAATCTATTTAAAGCCCTCACTATTGGAACAAATGATGGTGTTCCTTGCATTTTCAACGTTCATGTTGTTAACTCCAAAAAAGGAAGAAAAAAATATCAGCTTTCTTTAGATTCTGAATCCGTTACTTTCATATGTTTTTATGTTGGTGTGGAACTAAGCGTGAGGTTGTCACTCTTTTTTGTAGTAACGAACAAGTTGCTAATTCATCAATGGATGCATTAAAGAAATTAGCTGCATTTCCAAAGGGGATGGTACATATAATATACTATAGCGGTTATTTATCTGCTCAATATGGTTAACTTGTCCTGCATCTTGTTACAATAAATATTTTTTCGCCAAAACTAACTGTAATTTATTGCTCTGTAGGAAATCATCTTCCCAACAAATAAAACGGAAGCAACACACCTAGGAACTGTAGCTTCAACATGCTCATCTCTGGTATTGTAGCGGGTACTTTGACTTTGAGATATTTATTTTATTGGGCAACACTTAATGCTTGCTGAATATCATTTTAAAGAAAAATTCCTCCAACCATGCTCTCTTTTAATAGAGTTTATGTTTATTTATTTATTTATTTTCCCTCAAGAAGTTTATGTTTATTCATTGTCTCTTTTTTGCATCAGTGCCATTTTTGCAATTTGTACTTGTTTTCTTATCATTTCTCTACGACGGGGATCTATCTTCCTTAAGAAAATATTTGAATTCTTGGCCAAATTTTAAAAACAAAAAGAAGCTTTTGAAAACTGCATTTTGTAGTTTTTGAAAACACCTGTAAAGAGTAGATAATGAGGCTAATTTTTTTTTTTATCAAACAGGGCTTTAGTTACTAATAATTTGTGTTTCTGATTCTTATTGAAATTAAAATTTCCCAGGGAAGAGTCCGAGTTATGGCTTTGATAGTGAAACTGTTTTCAGTTTCTAGCTCTGTGGCATCTGCAGTATACAATTCAAATTTACTAAACCTACTGGAAAGTGAAATCAGCAACTCAAACGACACACTTGTAACTTTAAGCGTGTTGGAGCTCTTGTATGAGGTTTACTATCTCCTACTCCCTGATTTCTTGTTCACTAACATGTGTATCCCCCGTCTGTTTTTATTGTTGGTCTTGAGAGACATCAGTAAAAATGGTGTTATAAATTATGCTATCCCTTCAGTTTTTTTCTTTCTTTTTGTAAATGTTATTAAACTCATACAAGTTGGTTACTGTGATATCCAACAACATATTCTTAACATGAATTTGAAACAGACATGATTTGAATTGTCATGGCTGAATGAGCTGCCTCTCTGACTTCCTGTTGTTAGTTAAGAAGCAAGATGGTAGCTGCTTAGTGGTTTGATCATGCTAGAAAAATCATTATGGTCAATCATTGTAGATGAAGTGGAATGGATAATTTGACACGGCAATGTAGCCTTGCTTGCTTTTGGCAAAACTAACACAAAGAATTCGTTTAGAATGTTATTAAAATAATTGTTAGGAATAATATTATGATGTTAGGGTTATATTGATCATTAGATAAAGAGTTCGCTAGCAGGGTGGTTATAAATAATGGAGGTGGGAAGGGTTTGTAAGTCATGCATGTTTTTGAACTGGTCTTGTGAGCCAACTAAGCCTCTTTAATTCTTCATTAACTTCATAATTTTTCTCGACAATCCAATAAATTTGCAGTCCATATTTTCTTGATTTCTTATCTCCAGATTGGGAATCTATTAGAATTATGGCCAGGATATATTTTTACTCAAGCATGCATGGTAGAGCTAGAGCAATCATCATGAGTTACACCATGCTCTCTTTTGTTCTTCCTTTGTTTTATCATCCCACCTTGAAAATTTTCATTCTGATATAATTGATTTTCTTTTTATGCAATTTATAACATAATTTTATTATATTTCCAATTGATGAAGTTAGTGGAGATTGAACATGGTACAAATTTTTTGCCAAGGACCAGCTTTCTCCAACTACTAAGCTCTATAATCAGGTTTTGAAGAGAGAATTATAAACTTCAGTTATACAAGCTTGTGGTCTGACTTTGGATATTGATGGTGTTCTTAATTTTTTTTTGTTGTGTATTGCAGCAACCGGTCGGCAGAGTCTATATTAAGATCCAGAGCAATGGTCATTAGTGGAAGACTTTTGTCTAAAGAGAATATTTTCTCGCTTGTAGATGAATCTTGTAAGCAATAAGTTTACTGCATTTCATTTGATTAGAAAAAGGTGAATTAGATTGAATTAGATTAACTTGTCAAATTTCAATTTTCACATTCCAAACCTCTTCCCATCAAGTTTTACTTTGGGACACTCATATCCCTTGGACCTATGATTACTCGTTTTGGCACCATGGATATAAAAGCTACATATAGATCATGAAGATCACATCTATATATAACCTATGTGAAAGAACTAGGAAGCATTACACTTTTAGCTCTGTATTAGGTAGAGCTTCTGTGTCAAAACACATGTTGTGTTAAAAGATCACCACTAGTCCAATAGGGTCAAACCCAATAATTGTATGAGCCCATTGTCTAGATATTTTGGAAATATAGATGTATAGATATTTTAAGAATAAAAATGTCTATATATTTTAGGAAAAAGAATATGTAGACATTTTAGGAATAAATCTTGAATATCAATATGGTCTATATTGTCTAGCTTCTACTAAAAATACCCTTTCACCCTACTAAGTTTTTCATCCCAAGAAATCTCAAGCAAAGCAAAGTGTAGTAGTTTCTACCGAGTGTCTTGTAGTCTCTTTTATAAAGAGTGTGAGTGTTTTCCATAAAAGAGTTGTGTTCAATATGTTGATCATGCACGTGTTTGTCTGGACACACTCCGAACATGTCTGACATGCTAAAAGCATGGGTAATATTTATTCAATTTTTTTTTTTATCTAGTTTTGGACACAGCTAAAAATAAAGCCAGACCTAAAAAGTTTATAAAAGAAAAGGAGTGAACGGCCTTACTTGACCTTGATCTGTTTTATAGGTTATACAATTGTGTCCTTCGTGTTCTAAAAGAAAAGGAGAGAGGATTATATAACAATTTCTAATCCTTTAGGATGACATCTTCTTCATCACGCTATGGCCAATTAAATTCTTCTATATTTTGAAGCTCTTAAAATATAGTTAGTTGACTTGACTTTCTATGTTTTTATCTATGATGAAGTATAATAAAAAAACTGTCCAGAACATATCTCTGTCCTACTTTTTTAGAAATCGACTGCCTGTGTTGTATTGAGTCCATGTTTCTTAGAGAAGGAATCATGTGCCTTTTATTATATTTTCAATTCAAGTTTTGCATAAATATCATTTAGATAAAACATTACAAAAAAATTGCAAGGCTAGGTAGAAAAATTGCACGAACAATGTCCAACCCAGGTTATGAGTTGGATTATTTACTTTTACGAGTAAGGGTTTTCTAGACTGAGAGCCTTTTATGATCGATTTTCTTGCTGTACAAATTCAAAAATATGAAAATCACTTGAGAGATTAGCACAATCTAATTGATTGTGTTGAAAGCAGTTGACAGTAATCTATAATCACCTAATACAGGTGACCCTATTGCCTAATTTAGTCTTCTGAATCTGTAAATTTTATCATTATCAGTAGGACAAAGAAATCTTTTGATAGCTTCTTGTTTTGCTTTGATATTCTCAGGTGTACGAATTTTAATATCTTCTATAGATGAAATTCTTGGATCATCTGAAGGCCAGGATGTAAATGTATGTGAATCTGCATTCGAAGCACTGGGTCAAATTGGTTCGAGTAAGTATAGCTACTGCCACTTGTAGTTTAAGATTTATTTATTTAATGCGAGCAACTGGATTGTGATATTCTGTTACCATTTTTATAATAAGAGATAGAGTGAAGTTGGCATGTATTTCTAAATGCATGAAGACTCCAGAAAATAAACCTCGACCTCTTTAGAACATGTTAGATATTATCTTGTTTTTAATTTTTTCCCTTCTTAATGGAAGACTATGAACATGAAAGCTCGTATATACCCACTAAGATAAGTATTGGATGCTTAGAAACTATTGGCATTTTGGTTAATAATATCTATGATCTGATTTTGACTGTTACAATGAGAATGCAATGTACAGTAACTATTAAGGTTTCTACTTTTCAGAAGGGGTTTGTAGTAGATATCTTTTTCAAATAGGAAACCATAACATTTCATTGATATGATGAAATTACTTAAGGATAAGTTCCTATCCAATGAATTGCAAAAACCTTGCCCATTGGTCGTGAGAGAAGATGAACTATAGGTACAAAAGGAGCAATCGATTTACACTAAGAGAGAGCCAAAAAAGTAATAGATGTCCGAAAGGAGTGTATGTTTAATTCCTTGTCTTTAAAGATATGGGAATTGCGCTAGCCCAGATAAAATTCAGCCAAAGGATTTTCCTTTCTTTTTTGAATGGATGACCATTGAACACATTAGAAAGGAATGCTGATGATTTTGAGGGAATAGGAGAAAAGGATAGATGGTAGATGGGGAGATAAGCCAAAATAGCTTGTATGAGAGTCAGTCGACCTTACTTTGAAATATGAGCACATTTCCAACAATTGGCATCCAAAAGGTATTGAGACTTTGGCTTACCATTCAGAGGCAAACCCAAATAATCAGCAGGCCACTTTCCAATTTTGCAACCCCATTTCGCTGCCAATGACTCTTGCAAGAGAAGTATCAAGATTAATCCCCCAAAAATCAGTTTTCTGACAATTAATATTCATCCCAGATGCTTCCTTAAACTCATTAATGGTGTTGAACAAATTATTAATGTGATAGACATCAGGGGATGGAAAAAAAGGTGAGTAATCGATAAGCAAAGATTCACCCTGTCCACTTCAAACCCTTTTAATCAAACCTTTCATTTTCGCTAGGGAGAGCCTTCTGCTAAGAGCGTCCATAACAATTGGAAAAAGGAAGTGTGAAGTACACCTTGTCTTAGGCGTCGAGAAGCAATGCTCTTACCAAGGGGTTTCCACTGATAAGAGGGAGAAGTTAGTAGATGGCATATAACCCCTATTCCACCTCCTCAGATGCCCAAACCCTTTGCTTGTAGAATAAGGTCTAGGAAATCCCAGTCAACCTTGTCAAAAGCCTTTTCAATATCTAGTTTGACCACCATAACCGATTCCATCCGTCGATGTATCTCATCTATTCGCTCACAAGCAATCAAAGATGCATCAATGATCTGTCTATTAGCCACAAAAGCTCACTGATTATCCGTTTGACCCCAGTGATTTGTTAGTGCTCAATTTATTAACAACAAAATGAATCTCTTCTTCGGGAAGTGGTGCTTCCAAAATCATTTATTTTCCGTGGATTCTTCTAAAAACTAATTTTCATATAATTTTTTTTTTACCTTTTTTATTAAACATTTTAGAAAACAAGAATAACGGTTATCAAACCCGTTTCTATTTTTTTAATTATTTTTTATTATTCAATAAAAATGGAAGATCAAGAAACAAAATACAGTTAACAAACGTAATTGATAATTCTATTTTTCTTTATTAAAAAAGTGGAAACGAGTAACAATAAATGGAAGTTACCAAACGTGCCTGAAGGTGTTTTACATCATTTTAACATTTTATTTAGACCTTTATAAATAATTCATCCCCAAAAGCCAACATGTATAGATCAAATTTGTCTCTCAGGCAAATGGGGAGCCACTTTACTGCTGTCAAGTTATCCAACTTGTGTGAAGTATGTAATTAATGCAGCGTTTGATCGGCATGAACATGGTAAACAGCTGGTAAGTATGTTAAGCTCTTTGACTTGTATTTGCGTTTATGCCATCGTTTTCTTCACCCCAGTTTCTTTCGTTAAACCATTTGGTAAGGTAAGTATATGGTAAAAAAACTAGATGTTTCAGCTTGCTTTGTAAATTATTAAGTTTGGAAAATCCCTTGGAAGCTAGACATTTCTCAGATGACAAAATTCTTCGCTAAATTTCTTGCAAGGCTTATTTGTGGGAGAGTAGAGTGATAATGTTTTCAACAATGATTAATGTGGAACAGTGGTATTTTCCCTACTATGCCATGGTTTTAACAGAAAATATGGAATTATGAATATTTTTTGGATTGTAAGGTTGTAAGTGTTGCTATTCTCGTTTTGCACTGGTTTTCTATTTATCAAAAATCATTAACTCTTTATCTTTTGTGTAAAGCGTTATATTGACAACGGAAAGGATTTTGTTTTAAAAAGATGTTTGTGATAGAATGTGAACTGAAATATGCCATCGCCAATCATTTACTCAAAGCTAGGCGAGTATCTAATGATATGTGCTTTATGTACCTATAATATTTCACTTATATTTTCAACTGTCAATACAGGCAGCCATGCACGCTCTTGGTAACATCTTTGGTGAAACTCGATCCGAGAATGATATTATGCTGAATGATAATGCAGAAGAAAATTTAGGGGACTTGATTTATCAAACTGCATCCAGAAGTCCAAAAATAACGCCATCAGTGAGTGAAGGGTTTAGGGTTTATTTCTTTTGATAATATTTTCCTGCTTCAAGTATGTTTCCTATCTGAAGTAATTTGGAATTTGATATCTAATCTGCTTTAGTTGCAGAATATATGTCATTCCAATTCAAACCAATCCTTCTGCACTCACTTGACAAGATTAGACATTCCTCTGTTTCCTTACATGTTAGAATTAAAACAAAATGCTTAAGCTGATGGTAATGGAGTTAAGTTCATATATCAAACATGTTGGTCCACAGGCTTTGAAGTGTAACAGATGTTTGAAATAAGAATTGCTGTCTGTTCGTGAAATTAATTTGGTTGCTAAGCAATGTTTTAGAAAACATTCCTCAAGGCAACCTCGAGAAGCAAGACATAAGCCTTGAGGCAGTATGAGATGTAACATTACAATAGTACAAAACATACTCGAAAATTAATAACTATAAAGGAAAAAATCTCAATAGTCCATCGATATTCATTACTACATCTAACTTGCTTGTGTTAATAAGAATCTAATCAAAATGAAAACAAAGGTAAAGTAGGAAAAAGAATAAAACTCACCGTGAACAAATAAAAACAAAAAGAGAACAAGAGTGAAGGGGAAAAAATAAAACAAAACTCACCTTCTTGTGTTGTTGTCAAAGATTTAGCTACCTTGCAGTTTTTTTTCTTTGGTTAATGCAGACACTCGCAATTAGCTCTATTTTAAAATAACACAGCAAGGTGAAAACTTTTTCGTTTGTTAAGTAAACCAATTGAACTGCTTATGCCTTCTTAGTTTTCAGTGCATTTTTAAGTTCTCTTAGATATTTTCATGGCCCTATGGCTCACTACCAATGAACACAAGGCTTATGCCTTGTAGCCTCAGAGGCATTCATGGACAGGCGTAGGTCTTTTTTTATGTGTTGAAGGCGTAAGCCTTGATGTGCATTGTTTCCACCTCACCCTTGAGGCGCAATATTTGTGCCTTACCTCAAGGCTTATGCCTTGAACTGAACGCATTTTAAAGCATTGTTCCCAAGATATATGATGTGATGCTTCATACATTACTTGGTTATCACTGTTTTTAAGCCTTATGGAAAGATGTTTTTAGTGTTCTTTTAGAGTCAGGAGGGGATTGACCTATTTTCACTTAATTATCTTCAGCAAGCAACAATTTTGACATTGTTCTTCATTTCTTTCATGATCATAGTTTTTATAAGTCCTAACAAGTTGCTATGGCAGGGCCTTATTCTAGCTGTCCTTCAACAGGACTCTGAGATTCGGTTGGCGGTGAGTGTTTCAGTAATTTTTTGTTACTTCCAACACTCTTTTCCTGTCTTTTAACTGGCCTTAAAGAATCTTGATCTTAGTTTTGTAGAAAAATTCCCAAAAGATAAAAATACATGATATTGGTCAAGCCAATACTCTTAAGAGGACATAAATTCAACGACCCTTGGATTTAGAGGACATAAAATAAAAATAGTCTGCAAGGTGCAAAGAATTCAAAATGTCTGTTCTTGTTCACGACGATTTATCATCCTTTATTATTGTGGATGGGGTAACTTGCAATCTTAGCATATGGTCATTGGCATGGAGGCCTATTTTTCATAAAAAATGAGAACGCAGATGCTAAAAAACATGGATATGAACGCATAGAAATGGGTGCATGTATGAAGATTTGATATAGATATGTAGTACTTTGCGTTTTTTCATGTAAATTAGGCATAGCAAGACATTTTGATGTTTAGAGGATAAATATCTTATTTAGAAGCACATCCTATAAATTTGCATCAAATGGGTCTTCCTTGGTCTAGACAATTTTCTTAGTTTGTTTTTTGTTTAGGAAGTCTCAACTTCCAGTAAGAAGGTTGCTTGGTTATGGGTTTAGTATTATCCTGGGCAAGAAACTATGTGGGTTCTAGTTTCCTATGTATTTAAATTTATATGACTTGCTAACACAACTTTTTCTTCAGAGTTATAGAATGATAACTGGGTTGGTCGCTCGACCGTGGTGTCTTATGGAAATCTGCTCGAAACAAGACATAATAAATATAGTTTCTGATGCAAGTACCGAGACTACAAAAATAGGTATATGTGCTTGCTCTCCCTTGCATCCATCTTTTGAGGTGAATCAGAGATTTTTTTCATGATTGTCGTGTATGCATCATTAGAAACACTATGGTCGCTACAAGCATAAATCTTACTTAATTAGGTATTTATCTCAGGAATTTAAACAGTAATATAATTAAGCGAGCATTCTCCTCCTTTTATGGTGTTCCAGTTAAGGGTTGTTGATTTCTTTAGTTGTGACATAGTTGAGCATTCTCAAGCTTTTGTATTAGCCGTTAGCATGCAAACCTGCAATGTTCTTCAGATGTATAGAACATTAGTTCTTCCAGTGTCACAGTTTTAAACGAAATGTTCTAAGCATGTTCAGAAAATAATTATTGTTGATGGCCTATGCTCATGTTCAATTTTAACTTCCTTTCTTCAAATTAATATCCAAAATCTTGCAAATCATCTTCACCCACTTGTTAATAACAAGTTTGCTAAATATATTGCTTTCTAGACCCTGTGAAAGCAACCTTATGAACTCCAGGCAATTCGAAATATGCTGTTGGGTATTACAATTGCTTCTATCGATCAAATCCCTTTGCTGTTCTTGTCTGTTGTTGGATCAAAGACATTTATTAGCATTTATTTCTGAATCATATCTTGGTGTCGTTAAGTCTTTTTTGTAGTCTAATTATTTCAATACATTGACATGCATTATATCATTATGAAAAATGTAATGTAGGGTGCCGCTATTTTCTGGTGTGCGTTTCAGGAGTGTCTTCCATGATGCAATTCATGCATGAACGCATTTCTTATTGTATGAAATTGCTTTTGTGAGATTCATGAACTCTTCTGAAACAAATATTTCAGCAAGGGTTGGCATGTAATTAGATAGATTTAAGCGATCTTCCCCGTATATCTGAGGCTAATCTCAATCACATGATTTATATTTTATTATATATATATATATATTTTTTTTTTTTCCAGGAATGGAAGCTAGATATAACTGTTGTTTGGCTATCCATAAGGCATTCATGTCTTCAACAAGGCTTACGGGCGATCCTGCCCTTGCTGGAATAGCTTCGAAGGTTAGATGGAACGCAAATGAACTCTTGTGCATAAATATTTCATCCTTTTCTTCAACATTTTCCTTCTGCTCACAAAACCGGCTCCGGTTGTATGCCTACGCAATTATAACTTAAAACAGGAGGGGGGAGAACAAAAACAAAACTAAGCAGTTAGCCCGAAAAGGCCATCTCCATGTTTATGGCTTAACGTGTATACATCCTTTTATTGTTTTTTTAATTATTATTATTAAGGTAGGATGGTGATTTGAACATCTAACCTCTTGCTCGATGTTATATGCTTTATGCTATTTGTCTCAACGTCTGAATGATCGTCTTACTTGGGGAAAAAATAGTGTAGAATTCTGCTGTTGGAGTTTGAAAATTCAAACTTCGTAGTGGTTATATGCCTGCTAATCGTTACTCGGGTTTGTCTGCAGTTGCAGGAAGCTGTTCAAAATGGTCCATATCTTAGTAGAAGAAAACTGGAAACTCAGCCAGCAATAATGACAGCTGAGAGATTTTAGGAGTACAGTATGGTTCAGAAATAAGCAAGCCAGTGGGTCGTAGGTAGTTGCATCTTTGGTTTCTAGTTGATCCGAGGAGTTCACAGAAGACGTTGAAAATAGATTGAGCATTTTCCATGGATTGTGTGCACTAATATTTCTCTACTACTTTGTTCAGTTTCCTGAATGGATTGTTTATTAAAATTTGCTTGGGACAATGAATTTGTTTAAGTCAATTTAAAAAAAAAAAAAAAATCATATAAAACCTTTTTTTTAAGAAAAAAATTAATCCAATTGTTTGAATCACTTATTTACATGCAAAATGTAGTAATGATTTATTATCATACTTAATATAATAACTTAAAATAGAGAATTTTACCCAAAAAAAGGGGTTCAAATTTATAAAAATATGAGTCAATATTAATAAACTTCTTTCAACAATTTTTTTTTTTTTTTTTTTTTTTTA